CTCTTGCTTTCACTTACGTAAGCAAAATAACGAGGGATGCGACGTGATGTTTTTCTCGCAGCTTCTCATATGTCGGTCGCAACACAATTTCAAACTCAACTGGTTACTAAGTTTTGAGTTTTGAATTGAACGTCAAATCAACTGTTTATAACCGTTTAAACGGGGAGAATGCATGTGTGCGTGCCATCCGTTTCGTATGCGTTAGCCGCACGAGTTCAGCATTTCTCAGCTCTCAGCTATATGCTGAGCAGCAGCAAATCAAGATGCTCTGATTTTGAACTACTTATACGCAAGTGAATTGCACGTATATGAGAGACACGGCGACGTGCCAAACCGTAACGCCATCTATCGGATAGAATCTGAAATACAATTTCGTATTGACTATCTCATATTTGTGTAATTTTGTTCATAGAATTATAAGGTATATTCCGACAGATTTGTAAGGTTTTTATTCGCCAACATATTACATAGCATGCCATACCCTTGCTCATACGTCAATACTCTATTAATTGGCCAAAAACTTTACTGTTTATTGAATTAGTACTGCACTACCAGTGCATGTTCAATATCTCTTTCGGGGAATGAAAATTCATTCGGCAAAGGAAGAAATTTGGAAACAGGGCGGACAAGTTAGACTTACGGATGTAAATTCCATTTTAATATTAAAGGGTAAGGTTACGAGCGAGCGAAGCGAGCGAGTAACCGTCCAATACGTAAAAAAAAATATAGAAATATTGGAAGAAACTACCCAAGCACTCAAATTACACTGTTCGTCCAGAGCATTTGCACCGAGCGTCTTTAGCTCCGTATTCTGTTTCGTGTGTTCGTAACTGACGCACGGTACGAATGCCCCGGGTGAACAAGGCAAATTTAGTGCTTGGGTAGTATGCCGAGGCGAGCGAAGCGAGCCGAAGGCATGCTAGTTACTTATAAAATGCAAGCATTTTCAATCGATTTAAATAAACTGATTCGATTTTATTACGTGGTTGTGCATACGTGCGACACAAATGAATATATACAAGTGATGTGATGGCTATGAGATATCGGCAACGCAAAATCACATGTGCCCCGCCGGAATAATGGGAAGCAAAATATGTGCATGTAATTTGAAAATTACATGTTAAAATACATGGTGATGTTAAATCCAAAATACCGAAAATATCGAAACATAAACATGTGTCATGGATGCCGCATTTTAACACCAATTCCTCACTCTCTCTCACACACACACACACTCCGCTCCACCGACATCGCCATAAATCCATACATTGTTGTTTTAACTAACACTTTAACTTTGAAAACGTTGATTTTATTGTACACCAATATTAACTCTATTAATTTAAATAGATGTTGCAACGCAATGCACACCACACATTTTACATTGTTTATTGGATTTATGAAATCGTACCGAAGTGATTTCAAACTATTAAATTTATTGTACTTATTCTTGTCGATTGTTCTTTGCGTTGGGAAATTGAGATGAATAGACTCGGAGTGTGTTTCGTTTTTCGAAGACAATGAAACTTCTGTTCTTCATCTTTGTATTTTTCTTCGTCTTTTGTTGTTTTGGATAGATTCTCTTTGGCAAATAACAACATTGCAAAATAATTATCACCAGTTGACCAATGTTATACTATTTGTAAGTGAATGTGAGATTATGCTATAGCATCTGTATTACTTAATCATCGCATTAAGATTACAATGCATTACCAATGATTTCCAAAGTGCTTGCGTTTTATAAAAAGCAACGACCAAACGGCGCACAACAACTGTTAACCTAATAATGACGAATGGAATCATATCCATGCCAAGTGAATTCCCACATGAAACATTTTATATTAGAATAAAATAGAATGTATGCAACTATAAAATGGGTATATAAAATTCATTGGACGGAGATTTTCATTTGGATCTAAGCAGAAACGCGCGTGCACGTTTTGTACGCATATTGTTGCCCAGTTTGATAAAATAAACAAGAACCAACTAATGCATTCTCCATCTTATCCAATAATCTTGATTCAACTTCTTAACGCTCCGGCACCGAGTTTTATTCTTGATTCAGCTACTTATGCGTTGTGTGCATGCAGTTGCAATGACAAAATATTGAGATCCAACACTATCCGTTAAAACCAAATTGCAAAATAACATCAACAAATCGAGTACACAGCAAAACTTACCTTCATCGTTACCGAACGAGAAATGTAAACACAACCGAATGAAATTTATTTGTTTTTATTATGCCGAAGAAAAGATGGGAAGAAACAAAATAAACATATTTGTGGTTTTCGCTATATTCGGGGCTACTTGCCATGGTTTGTTTTGCTGTTTTTGAAAGATTTTACTTACTTGTTTGATTTAAATATCCCAACTGCTTTGCAAGAAGCTTAACACTGCACAGTGTGCAGTTGGCAAAAAGTTTTGTGTTTTTTTTTTTTTTCACGGAAAATCGAGACGGATGCAATTCAAAATAAGTTTCGTCGGAATATTGTTGCATTTTAATTAGAAAGTGCAATTGTTATTTCATTGAAAACGTGGAATTCTACACACAACGATTGGAGTATTCCAATGCCATGTGCCCATTTTAACCAGCGAGATGGTAATTTGATCACGCTAATTTGATTGGGATACTTTCCATTGTTTTGATCAAAAACATCAAAATACAATGGCGGTCTATTTTCATTTTATTAAACGTCAATGTCTTATTACGGAATTGGAAATCTATCTGCCAACAAATCGTCATGCATTTAAATCGTTTGATTTTCAATTCTCTTTAAAACATATTAGGTGGTTTCCAATTTCCGTGCATTTTCATTTGGATCGCTTTGACATGAATTTTGCTGTGGCCGATTTGCGTGTCAACATATAACCAATGTAGCAACTATTTGCAATAAAATATTTACTGTTCAAACAAAATCCAGTGTCTAATGAATAAGGCAAAGCTCTCTCTCTCTCTCTCTCTCTCTCGCTTTGTCCATCTACATATACGATGCGGTGACTACAATACTATCAATATACGTTGTTTGCACACATTTCACACATTTGCATGGAACAATATAAATTCTCGATGCATTTTGATAATGGTATTCCGTGTGCATTCCGTTTAATCGGATCGAAACAAATTCAACCAGCTTTGAAATTCAGTGCATATAGTTTCAGTTACATTCTGTTCATTTCCCAAAAATAGATTGTTGCTTTGATTAAATGTCTGAATATGATCGTCGTAATAATACTCAAATAGAAAATGTTATTATTTTTTTCTTCAAGAAATTCGAGTAGTTGTATATCCAAATCCATCTTCAAGTTAATAATTTACGGATTATTTTGTGAAAATGTTCAAGCAGTATTTCACCGTTGACCCCCCATATAAGCCACCATTGATATGAGAACAAATATTTCTGTGGAGATCGGTTGAAATATGAATGAAATTTCCTTCTAAACGAAATTGCTACATCTGTGCACCATGTATCTGTAAAACATGCCGTAAATGTTGTTTGGTAAACAATAAGTCGAGTTCATTTCAGTTTGTGGCTAAATTTGTGCAATTGTTTTTCGGTTTGAAAATCGCTGTTTGGTTGGCAAATCAAATATGTTTGAACAAATCGCTTGGTTGTGTCGTTTTTTTATTATTTTCCGAAAATTCCGGTTGTAGTTGCGAATAGAGCTTCATGTATGCAAAACTTTGTGTATGACCAAATCGACTGAATGAATGAGCAAATAAAATGCCCTCCGCCGCAGAACAGCATTTGTGCTCGACGAAATCGAAAACATTCGATCGAATTTGTAATGACAAAGCCAAAACAAATAGAAAACTTTTGTGCCAAAAATGAAAAGGAAGCAAATGAACGAAAAAACAACGAAGCGAAATCAAGCATCACCCAATTTCCGGTCTCTCATGAGGTTTGTTGGCGTTCGTTTTGGTCACATGCAGTGTGTATGGTGGTACAAATCAAACACCATTTTCTGTTTAAAATGACCAAAAACTACGAGTAAATCAAGTATAAAGAAATCGCGATGCATACCAATGATCCGTCTTTCACACAAACATGCCATTGAACATTGGCAAAAATAGGCGAGCAAACATATAGAATAGAATTGAAACGAAGAAAAAAAACACGAACGACTCTTCATGTGTGTTACACAGATATTGAATTGAATATCGGAAATGGTTTTTCGGTTTTGGGCGATGTTACGATGAACGAAAATCTCAGTGGATTTATAACATTGAGCAAATGTCGGATGCGGTATGTCAACCGTTTAGTTTCAACACTTTCAAAACCCAATGATGTCTTGTAATGCCAACAATTTAAACCAAAGCGATGAATTAACACTCGAACCGACAGTTTTACGTTTCTTTTCGACAGTAACCATATTGCTGGCATTACCACAATCATTCAACGATAGAATTGACCGATAAATCATATCAATAGATAGAATGAGAGAGAGAGAGAACGAGCAAAAAAATCAAGAGGAAATTGTGGGCTTAGAATTACGTAAAAGTTGACTAACGCAAAGCGAAATGGCAAACAGTAATTAAACGATTGAAATCGAAACTTCATTGAAACCGGTTGGATAGAAAAAACACTGGCACGTCGTCACACGATGACGGCAACAATACCATTATTAATTGATGGAATCAAGTGAAGACAAATAAACGGAATTGCGAACGGTAGCTCGGGTGCCTTTGACAATTAAAAATGATTTGCGGACACAAAGCGAACATTATTACATGCAATTATCACTGGTTTTGTGTGTGTGTGTCTATCGGTGCATTTAATGGATTAATGCATGTTCGGTATTATCTAAGCGTTGAAACGATTAAAATGCAACAAACACTTGCCGCTTTACCTCATTTGCCGCGTGCTTATTTACCGTTACACTTCCACGCTGAGTAGAAACCGTATTCAGTTTGGTCTAGTATTTACGGTTTTGTTTATTTTAGCATTTACTTAGTACTAATTTGTGTAATTCATTTAATTGATTTCGTCATTTTTTTGTTACAGATTCATCACATCCACTTCAACCGCCAAGATTTACGACGCAACCATCATCGTCTGGTAAAAGATTTACAATTACATGTTGAATACAATTTGTGATACAATTTGTGTTTTTTTTTCTATATTTTTAATAGCATCAGCAGTGAGTGAAGGACGTACGAAAATTTTACAGTGCCATGCGTTAGGTAAGTGCAATAAGTATGCAAGCATGCAATACAAACCGTTGTCTACTCATACATTTTTGCTATCTCTCTCCATTGTTGATCGTTCTTTTTTTTTGTTGCTGCAAAACACTATCAAATACGATACATTTAGAATCTAAAACCGTTGTGTGCCATCCATAAGTGAACGCAATTGCCATAAATTTAGATGGAGTCGTTGGTTTTTGCTTTTCGGAACATGAATCGAAACGTTGTAAAATGTTCGGTACTATGTAAAATGAGATTAAAACCCTATCTCTCTGGCTCGGTAAAAAGGCAAACTGTTGCATTCAAGATTTATATGTGCGCCGCAGTTGGGAAAATATGGATATTGCACAAAAGCATTTTTCGTCTTACGCCTCGTGAGATGTTTTCAAATAAATTTCTAATTGCTTTTAGTTGATAATTTTGGGAAAATCTTCTAAAAATATTGCTTTTTTCAAAATTGCAAGCCAAAATTCGGAAAATATGAAAATTTCCATTTTGAGCAAACTTTTCGGTCCATCGGTCGCATAAATATTTGATCATCTGTCATTCACTTCATGACACATTGAACTCATCATTACACTATGAATACATTGTGCATGTAATACTAAACGAGTCCGCTTTATCGTTTATTCTGACCCAAGGCAAAATCATTTACATAAATCATGTTCAGCATTTCATACCGTATCGATGTATATGGCATAAATATGGCGTGCATTTTGCTTTCGGTCACTTATGCATCAAACGAAATGATTAAACAGATGATTTACATTGTGTACACACATCACAAATCGGTTTGCGGGTGCGTTTAAACACCCGCCGATAAACTCAATGACCTTTTCATCTCAATAGAGAAATTACACAATGTAACCAGTTGAGTTCAACACAACTGTATCAATATCGTCGATTTTCGAAATCAATTTTTTTCCCGTTCCAACGGTTTGAACAACAAAAGACAATACTTTACTGTCGAACAAAACAGATTCACAGCGGAAGTACGAACTGAATTTTTAATCAATTTATTACATCTTGAATGAGCTACTCCACTGTATTGAATGCATTGAACTCAACATTTTTTGTTTGTGTGTGACAATATTAGGCAATGCAAACAATTTACGCAACTACTAAGCATCGTTTAACACAGTTTGATATTGTCGATTCGACAAACCAAAATTTACAAATTACATTTTTGGGATGATGAACGAGTTTGCCATAACCTTAGAACTCACAACTATTGTGTAACATTGTGTTCGATGTTTTGACAGGCCAAATTTATAGGTTTAATTTGTCTATGTCGTGGCTTCCACCGATAATCTACGGTTTTTTATACGTGTGTATGTTTGGGTGATAATTGCCTCTTTTTTACTATTAGTGATTAATTCGAAGCAAAGCACAGAGGAATCACATTTTGTTCCATATTTGAACATAAAACAAAACAAAAAAAATTGTTCAAGACACGAAATTGTGGTGCCGAAAAAGCATTGACGACAATAAAGTGAGGCATCTAATTTTGGAAATAGTTGTCACGATTTTTCATGATGACACCGTCAAAAATCATCCGAAAAAATGCCAGAATTTTGAAAATAAATCACAAAACGTGAAGACTGGAAGGTGATGACATCACTGTTTTAAGATCGTTTCTCTCTAAAAAAAAAAACGAGTTTTCATACAATTTCCCGTGTACTGTAAACACTAGCAAAAAGAACGCTCTTCTAGAAAAAGTTCAACGTGTGCATATAGTATATATATCAGGCGAATCGTGATGAGATATCTAGTATCTGAAATGTGCCCCGCGAAAATTTATTGCAAAGTAATTGAATGCAATGTAAATTGGTAGTTTCTGAAAATCTGATTAATTCGTACTTGAGGCTTATTTAACTTGAAAGACGTGCTTATACGTCTTTTCTTTACACGCAAAGTGTACATGTAGGTGGCGGTGGATTTGCTACATTGTATTGCAAACTTTCATTCATCAATCTGAGCATAAATTATATAATTTGCATACAATAATTCTGGGTGCATAGCACATGTCGTCGTCATCGTTGTGTATTCATGTAGTTTTCTTGAGTTTGGCCCATAACACCAAGTTTCGATTTCTTCGCAACAAAATTTACATGGGTGGAATGGAGAAAAAAAAATCAATTTTTCTCTTTCATCAGTTGGCTCGTGCTTACAATATACTAGCGCAAATACCACTTATTTCGATTATGTGCAACATTTCCAAGAACCAAGCGAATGGCAACAGTGTGTAGCTGCTGTTTTTACTGCGTGTATTCGTTTTAATCTCGGCGAACGCGTTCATTTTTCGCACAATTTTTCTATCCATAAAAATGCATCGTGCATCCACAAAGTGCAATTAACGCTTCAATGCATGCAGTTTTAGCAGTCGGGGGCTTTTTTTTCGACCAGGCAATAAACAACCTCATATTTAATGCATATTTTCATTACAGCCACTCAATGGAATTGGCTCATATAGGTGAATGGCATTAACAGCTCCCATGCAAAACGGAATGTGTAATTTTCTGTGCATCCTTGCTGTTGTGCTGAAACCCCGTTGAAAATTTGTCAAATTGCCTTAAAACGAATCGTCCCTCATTTTTTGCGAAATTCTTTCTATTCGCCAAAAAGAGGTGTTTGTGTGGGTGTGAGAGCTTTTTCTTTTTAATATATTTTCAACATACCAGCATTTGACGCAATGGAATCGATTTTCAAAATGAAGAGTGGCTGCACATCGCCGCTTTGTATGCAACTTCACAATGATGTTGAAGCAGGAAACAGAATAAAAATCTAATGGCATCATTAAAACCAGGCGAATTCACCTTCTTGTACCACCAAAGATGCTGCACATAAAAAGAGAGAGAAAAAGAGAAGTGAATGGGATGCGATTCATTAGAATATGTGAAGCAAATGCGTGCTTCAAGCACAATCTATTCTATCTTGCTTATTTGAATGAAATCCAGTCACCGGCTGTTGCCATACAGTAGCAAACTGAACAAAAAAAAAGCAAGAAAAGAAAAACAAATGTAAAAGCATTTATCCAAATAATGTGAATCGATAAAAAACGACACGATACATATAAAATAAATTTCAAAAGAATTCTTTCTGCTTCATCTTTCTTTTTCATAGTCTTTCCATGTGCCACTTGTCACATGAGGCTCACAAAGCAATCTCTGTGCTCAATTTAAATCATTCACTGCTTATTTGTTGCGACTCTTTTTTGCTCCAACTCCATTCAATTCACATTTACTTTTTCCCTTCGCTTTACTCATTCGCTCTGCTGGGAAAATCGCAATGCCATTTCCAATGAAACGATGCACTTTTCGGCATTTAAAGCAAGAATATCACGTAGAAATGGGCAAAGAAAGATATTTCCAAAGATTATCGATAACAAAACTAAACTACATTTGTACACAGATTTTCTGTCAAAAACGATTCGAACTATTATTCGATTCGATGCGCGAACGGCGTGTGTAAACTTCTTTTATTGGATGTTTTACGTTTTCTCATTGGTTTGTGAGAAACAGATGTTTTTGTACGATGTCTTTTATTTCCTGCAAACTAATGGAAAATTATTCAAATGCATTTTGAATTATTATGATGATGAGCATTTAAGCAAAAAAAAAAACTCTTTCATAAGAAAAATTTAACTCTTTTTCTCTATTTTAAATGTAAAAAATGAATTTTTTATATGACATCATAGCTTAATCCATTTTTCGAATTAAAAAAAGCGGGGAATTAAGAATGGCTTTGTAAAAGTAATATACATGCACAATTTATTGAATCGAGCTATTAAATAAAGTTATTCCCGAGCTACAAAAGAACTTCTAGCCAAGAATTGAGTTGTTCTAACTTGAGAACAAAAGAGTAATTGCCACTTTTTCTTTCTCACTCTCTTTGTTTCTCTTACTCTTTCGCCAAAGAGAAAAAGTCAAATTGCGCAAGACAATTTCCAAATTTAATTAATGACTTCATGAGTAAAAGATTCAACGTCGAAAAACGAGCTGAACGATTTGATTTATTATTCATGGGTAACTTTTGCAGTTAATTAAGCACTTCGGCGATAGATTTATTCTTCGATTGATTTCGTTGTGAATTATGGGAATTCTTTAGAGATGATCGAAATATATATACTTCGATCATGGGAAAAATATGATCAATAACTGTACACACATTTATTCCATCGACATATATAATGATATGTTGTCACACCAATGAAATTTGAATATAATATGGGTTCATAAACGATAGAATATAATTTAATGGGCACAAAAAAACACATTCACCTACATAATTGACATGGGTTAAAAGCCACACACACAATTTTTAATGGATTTCTTTGTTTTGTTGTGGTGTTTGCGTTCGGTTCTACTATTCCATCATCAAAGTAATTTGCTTTAGCAAACTTCAACATCATTATCACACACAAATTACACGGGCTATAAAATGGTGAAAAGAAATAAATATAGAAAGGAAAAAGATTTTTCCCCCATCTTACCATCGTCATTGCGATTATGTTATTGAAATTTCGCAGAAGACATTGGTCGGCACGCATAATCGACAAAACAAAATATTTCAATTAAGCGATGAAAATAGAATGAGAAAAAGGTTCAAGGTTTTTAGTTTCAGAAAGGTGGCATGTTAGAATTAAGTTTCGTTTGCTGCTGAAGAGAGTCTGATTGAAAGTTGTTGATGTTATGTAATGGCGTCAAGCCAAGAAGCAATTATCTAGCCGCCAAAATGCTATCTAAATTGAAGATCGTTCGATCGATATTTGATCGATTAGAAAATATAAAAGGAGCCTAAAAAATCAAATTAAAGTAACCCAAGCATGGAGGCTACCTTATGGATTTGTTTATCCGACCGCATTAAAAAATGAGTTTATTTCGTGTTGGAAAATCCATTTAGATGTGTACTGTTTACACTTTCTCATACAGACTTCTTTTGTTATGTGTCTTTTTTCCACCAAATTCAATTTATTATGCGCACTTTATCAAGCGTGTGTTTTTTTCTCGAATGGAAATGGTTCTTTTCTTCATTTAAATTCTTCGTTTACTCAGCGAATGAAAATTAAAGAATTCTTGATTATCTGTTGGGAAAATGAGCGAAAAAGTGATGTAAATTAACGAAAAAAAAAACTTCGAACAAATACACATGCTACGATTGCTTAATGCGATGAGTCTGGCTTGAACGGCAGCCAACTCAATGCACACGTTCCACACGATGATAATCGAAAATGTGAAAGAACAAAAGTAACAAAAGATTCGATTCACAAACTCCAGCCACAAATTCAAAGAACTATGTAACTGAAAACTCTCGACAATAACAGAATCGGAGCCCAAGAGATAGAGACGAGAGAAGAAAAAAAAAACAACACTACGAAACGTTTCTTCTTTTATTCTAGTCATGTATCATCATTTTATGTTTTCATACGGGAGAAGAGTAAAGAAATCGCGTCACGCTCACTTGATTTGATATGCACTAGAAAGACGAATAAAAAAAATCACTGGCCACATTTTTATGAAAAATACTTACATATGAATCGTTTGCGTTTTTCTGATTGAAATAACAAATCGGAATCGAAAAACGAAACACAAATGTGATCACTTTTTTTTTAACTTAAACTTTGTTTCGGGTCAAACGACGACCAGCTCAAAAAGATCGCCCGAAAGAATGGCTGCGGGTGAATACACAATAAAAAAAGTGTTCACAGAATATATCTCTGGTTTCAATGCAAAGTGTGACGATTCAAAGCTGTATGATACAAAGATGTGATGATTGTTCACTGTTGACACGACGCAGTCGAATATTTTCAATTCTAAGCGCCCCGAAGATTTGCTTTTTTTCTTCTCTTTCTTCTAAATCTCAGCGTTTTTATTTGTATTACAAGGAAGTCACGGCAACGAAAGTAACAAAATGCTGAGTTGTAAACCATTCGATTTCAAAAGTAAATGCATAAAAAGCGAACTTTAATTTTGATTTTGTATTTCCTTGATTCGCGCGCGTACATCGAGACAACAAAAACAACGATTCGTGACTTCATTTTAGAAAATCACTGTCAAACAAACCGATTGAGAATCGTTGATTTGACGACCAACGTCGATTGAACGAAAACAGACAGAGAGAAATAACGCGCACGCCAAATGATTTAAAACATAATGCTTACATTGAATTCGCGAAATTGCCATACGAAGAAATTTCTTTCATTTCGCATCTGGAACAATATAAAACCAATATAACGTCTTAAGCTTTGCGAGTGAAATTCGTTCCGGTCGATTTGATCAAATAAAATACAAAATAATGACGGCGTAAAGATGTTAGTGACTTGGATAAAAAAAAACTAAGAAAAAGAAGAAAACAATTTTCGGTTTGATCCAAAGATCTGGACTTTATGTTGAGAGATACAATTCAACGAAGCAAGAGCTTTGATTTGCTTTAATGAAGCGTCCAAATTCAACAACACTTTGTACGGTTGACTTGATAATAATTATAAGCAGTAGCAATTTATTAATGAAATTTCCGAAAATCATCAGTGTTTTTAGATTCTCTTAACGGTGTTTTTTCTGCTTTCTTCTTGTTTTTTTTGTGCTTTTCTGTGAAAAACGACAAATATAGGTTATCCACAGCCAATGTACCGATGGCTCAAAGACGGAATTCCAGTGACCGATTTTTCAAATGGTCAATACTACCGTATACCCATTACGAAGCGTGATGATAGCGGATCTTATCAGTGTAATTTTTCCTTTTTTTAATTTAATTTTATTAAAAAAAAAATTTTTAATTATTAACATTATTTATTTGTTTTTTAGGTATGGCACGGAATGATGCTGGAACGATATTTAGTGAAAAGATTGATGTGGTCGTTGCATGTAAGTATAATATTTAAGTGCTTAATCGAAATAGTTCAGCAATGAAACATATATGATTGCATGTTAGTGGAAAATGAAGCTTTTCACAATTATGACGACGAAATAATAGTCTCGAGGCATGAACATTCAATTTTTTGTTGCTCAAAACGTTCATTTTTTTTTTTAATTGTATTTTAGACATGGGAAATTTCGAAAGTGTTGATGAACAAAGGGTGTCGGTTGAGTTGGGTCATCCAGCGATTTTGGACTTACCACCGATTGAATCCATACCAACACCGTCTGTCACATGGCAAGATGAAGAGCATGCATTGGATTTCAATATAAAATATGCAGTGACATTGAAAAATCAATTGATCATTTTGAATGTTGACGAAATGGATGCAAAAGCGTATCGTGCGCGCGCCATCAATACGATTTTGGGAAAAGAAGAAAATAGTGCGTTCATTCAATTAAATGTCAGCGGCGGTTCATACGGACAGGAAATAGCACCGGAAATTATTGTACATCCAGAAAATTTGCAATTGATTCGAGGCGAAGAGTTGGCACGATTGCAATGCATTGCCAACGCCCGTCCATTGCATGAACTGGAAACTTTGTGGATGAAAGATGGAATTTTAATTGAAAATACCGGTCTTCAGCACACATTGGACGATCCATGGAATCGGACATTGGCATTGTTATCAGCAAATCTAACACATAACGGTCAATATACATGCCAAGTTCGATTGAGAAGTGGCGGTTTTCCAACAGTCACATCCACAGCAACAGTTATTGTACAAGAGCCACCAAGTTTCTTCTCGCCATTACGAACCGAAACACTTGGCGAATATGGATCGACTTTGATTATTCCATGTGACGTTATAGGTATGTGTATTTGTTTGGCACAATACATCTTTATGCGAAATAATTTGCAATTGTTTTCTTTAGGCGAACCAACACCACATGTTACATGGTTTAGAAATGCTGAAGCACTGGACATGACAAGTGAACGGTAAGACTCTTATCGTAAGAGATAAGATTTTCAAATAAAAAATTGACAAAAGCCATACTTTTTAGATATGCCGCCCATTTTTTTTATTTTCATTCAACGAGAGAATTTTCAATTTTAACTTTTCGTCATTTTTCGTTGCATTTCAGGTACATCGTTCAGGAAGATAATTCATTAGTGATAAAGAAACTATCAATGGACGATTCGGCAATGTTTCAATGTTTGGCCTCGAATGATGCTGGTGAAAAGTCGTCGTATACATGGCTTCGTGTAAAAAGTAAGTAAAAAAAACTTTATGACCAACTCATTGAAATGCCATAAAAAGGTATATTTAACAATTCGGCGCACAGTTTTAACCTCATTTGGGATTCAAAATGGAACATTTTCAAATTTAAATTAACACTAACTTTTTTGTACGGAAATTATATTCACTACTGTGAAAATTTAATTAAGAAAAAGGTATTGAAATTAACCATAAAATTTACGTAACTTCTTGTATAATTAAAAGCTGACAATATAGATAAGGGTATGTTTGTCGATAACGATTCCAATATATCCGAATTGTCCTCTAATCATCTAACAGTCAAAAGTAGTGAAATTATAAGAAATCGAATGAGGCGCTTTGCTCAGCCGCGTATAATTCGTGTGCGAGCATCACCGTCTGCATCGGATCGATCGTCCTTGTCCGAAATTTCATATGATTCTGCTACTTTATCTGGATCGGGTCACGACGTAACCACTAAAAAACGGAAACTCAAAGGATTTCGCTTTGATTCAACTACTTTACCGGGCAGTAAGCAATATGAAATACAATGTCAATGCATGAAATTAGCACGTGCACAATTAATGCTTTTCAACCATTTTTTAATATATTCTGTCATAATTTCCATCATTTAATAATTTAATTGTCTGCAACATTTTACGTCTTGTATGCATTCAATGTTTACCAAATGCACAAAGAGTTCGTTTGTACACAGTGTGTTCATAATCGCACTCAATGCAATCGTTCACTTTTCTTTTATTCTTTTAATTAAATTTCACATTACCTTTTTTTGTCGCACTTTTCACAGATAAAACGAATGATTTAATGCACAGTATTTTATATGCATCAAAATGGATGAGTTGGCTTTTGTTTGCTATATTTGAACGCATTTTTTTCAGAGCTCCAGCAATAGAGAGAGATATGTGTCTCTGCATGTATAAATTCTTCACAGCCATTCGCTGGCTACCAGAAATGAAATGTGGAAAACATATTTACTGATGTCTTTCGTTTTATTCCGGCACTGGAGTCTTTTTTTCACTCTTCCTCTCTCTCTCTCTCTCTCTCTCTCTCTGTGTCCCTCTTGTACTTTTTCTTCGCTCTCGCACGTGCGATTGCTGTGTTAACGGCAATTTTTTCTATTTCTGTTGCCGTTCAATTTCCGCTGTATGTGTTGCTCTTCTTTTATTTCGCCATTTAATCTGACACAGTCAAATGTCCATTTTTCTCGTTGGTTCCGTCTGTTCACCCCCGTTTTTTTTCCTTCTCTCGTACTCGCCATACTTGTCGTACATGTATACAATTTGATTTGTAGTGAAATTTTTGTTTACATTTGTCTCTTTCGCCATTCGCTTTTCACATGCAAACTCTCTGACTATTGTTTTCTCATGTGAGCGCGTTTTTCCTGGCATTATTACCATTAATCCGATTGCATTTGTTTTGTTGTCAGTTTCGTGTTCTTTTGGCGACCTTATCACTCGACGAACCGAATGGGAGAAAGGAAAACAAATGAAAACTACTTTGGAATGCTTACGGTTAACAGCTGCCAGATGAGAATTGCACGCGCTTTTATAGAACTTATAAAGTGTTGGATTTCAATTGAATTCTTGTGTTTCTCAATCTTTTTTCTCTCTCAATCTCTCCTCCTCCGCCTCCGCCTCCGCCACCGCTCTCTCTGCATTTTTTACGTCGGCTGAAAAGTACCGACATCCCAAAATTGAATTCGCATGAGTGAAAAAAGTGTTCATCCATAGAGAGATTCATGTGTGGTGTACACAGCATACATGCAGCATACATGAGAATTGTGAGATGCATTCGGTAAATTTCTCTTTTGTTTCATTCAAACACCAAACGAATCGTTGTTTGTCTCACTGTTGACATTATCTCGACTTTCGCATCTTTCTCTATCTCTTAGTTTCAACGAAAATAATTATCTCTTACAATTTCTGGGTCGCAATTTAAAACTTCCAGCTGAAGTCATTTACAACAACTTTTTAAATGTCATGCATTTGGCGCAACTCATTTTCAACATGATTTTCTCTCTTCGATGGAGTCTCAATACGAATGACCAAATCGCTTGCGGTAGAAAGCGAAGAAAAAAAATGTTCAATTGTTTTTACAGTTGCAATTTGACATCACAATAGATAAAGCTGTGAATTAAATAACAATACTTGCTTGTCTTGTTAATGACCATAGTGCTATGACTCCACTACAAAAGCGGCTTTGTCATGTCTGCGTCTGTGTTTTGTCACTTCAAATCAGATCAAGTTCATTGTTTTTTAGTATATCCATTAAGTATGTTTGGTAATTAGTTAGCAATATCGCGCACAACAAGATTCGATGACGTAGTCAAATCATTGCTCAATCAGTTCGAGGCTTATGTAAATTATCGCAAGCATTACACTTCAGGCCACACGTCCAATGAAAACAAAGCGCCAAAGTTGAAATTGATCCGGTTATTTTCATTATAATGAATGCCCTTTGCTCCGTTAGAATATTTCATATTCAACGTGAGTTGCAAAGAACTTTGAGCATAAAGTGAATTGCCAATAATTGCGTAATCAAAAGACTTGGCATTTTATTGCGTGTGCTATTGCTGCTGTTTATACAAACCATCACATTTTGCCTTCGCATTAGTCCAGTTTTAATAGACTGTTGAAGAAAACAAAGTTAAGGCGAGTCATGAGGTGCCGCAAGCTCTTTGTGATTCTCTGGCAATCTCTCAAACCGTATATGTTCGTCGTCGAATACGCGGTAGAAAACAAAAGTGAACATATACATCATGCTCAAAAGTCAACGCCAAAGTAATAATTCAACTGATTTTGATTAAATAAACTCAATAAGAACCGTGAGCTCTTTTACCAGCCAATTTACGTACGTGGTAATGTTTTGAGTAATAGTTTGGCGGAAAAGTGCACAGTTTCACTTTGAATCGAGTCAATAATTAATTTCCGAAGGTGCATAATTTTCAAAGGTGTATAAAGGGTCCACATTTGATTCATACACGTTATTTGAAGTAAATGAACTTTAACGTTTCAAGAAAATTGTAATTGTGATTGAATGACTGTATGACCAAATATATCACCAAAATTTTAATTTATTTCCGTAATTTTCGCCTCAATATATTTGCAATAGCGTTTGGTAGTCGTCTTTTTTTAAATAACATAAACTCATATTTCATTTTGATCGAAACAACATTTTCCGGAACACAAAACAGGTGTATGTAGTGTATACACATCGGTCACAATGGATTTTGTAACATCGACATCGGTTGCAATGAATATTTTGAATTAATAAAAAACACAAAATACGAAACTTATGACAAGTGGAATGTTTCTATGTGACCGTATTCGAAACCAATTTTAATATAGTTTGCACGCAATTCTTTGTTGCCGATATGCCACAAAATAGCGGATACAAATTTACTCTCTCTTTCTCTCTCATTCGATGCGTGTTTCGCTTTTGAAAAATTCATATCGTTTATTGCATACAGTTTGGCACACACTCACCGCATGTATACATTGAAGCAATTGCAAAAATCCCCCTGCACACGGCCACATACCAATCCACTAAATACAACAATTTCTGCATGCAACCAATTTATTTTGGTTCATTATTATTGTTATTAATTTTAATGTTTACTTTTCGAATATTAAATTGCCTTTATGAATCTATCACTCGCTAACCATACATCCCACCAAAATATAGATGAGATATTTATTGCTATTTTTGACGCACGAACATAAAATTCTCACTTCATTCTGGCACAACTTTTCCGTACCGAAATTATGCTCAAAGTGTCACACAGCTAGCGCCACGATGGAATTCAATGTAATCTATACTAAGTTTCCGCCAACTAGTGAAAAGACTTTTGCTCAGTTACAAACAACTGCCTAGAACTCCATAATTGTCCGTAGTGGCGCTAGCTGTGCTATAGTTTTGCATTTTATACAGTCTCTTATGGAACATAATTGCAGTGCGCTTTTTCACTTTCGATATATTTTGCACGTTATTATTTGTTATGCTTTGTGTTGAATGTTTAACTCAACTAGATTGTGTTCACACTGTCAATAATATAATAATGCATTTTATTGAATTTTCAAATATTGTCACATTCGATATTGTATTATTATTTGAAATGTTTACATTGAATTGGAATCTAATTTATTTATTTTTCATTGTATTTGATATGAAATTAGCATCGACGCCAATCATGGAACAGTCACCGAAAAATGTCACCGTTCTAGACGGAAAGGATGCAACAATTGTCTGTCGAGCTGTTGGAGCACCGCAACCAAACGTGACATGGACTTATAACGGTGAGTTTTGATTTTGATCCAATTTCCAGCACAAACAAATAAACAAACAAAACTAACGAGGGGGGGCTTTATAACATTGTGTTTCAGATTCAACACCGGTTGAGTTGACAGGTCGAGTTCAAGTTTTGGAAAATGGTGATTTATTGATATCGAATGTCCGTGAAAGTGACGCTGGATGGTATAATTGTATGGTAATGTTTGTTTTTCTTTTGTTTGCATTCTTAATTTTATAAAAGGCTATTAAATTCTATGGAAGACTTTAAAAAGGAACTTTAAAGATATACAAAATCTATATTTCGAAAACAAAAAAATTATTATATAAAAAATAAAGACAAGCATTCGTGACAGTCTTGCGGTTATAATAGTCCTCGTGTTCGCTGATTCAAATATTCTAACATTGTTGCTTTCATTTTGTATTGTGGGCTGTATTTTACTGTAGCGCTCGAATGAGGCTGGATCGGTTACTGGACAGGCATATCTTGGTGTGATGGGTATGTAGTTTGCATTAAAAACCACCTTGTCATGTTCACCATCAATTAAAAACAATAAAAAATTTCTTTTAGTTCGGACACAAATTGTTCAACCGCCAGCTGACACCCGAGTACTGTTAGGTTTAACCGCATCGTTACAGTGCAAAGTTTCAAGTGATCCGAGTGTACCGTTCAACATTGATTGGTATCGCGATGGGCAAATCGCTCCAATAATGAATAGCCAACGTGTCGGCGTTCAAGCTGATGGTACATTGGAAATACAAGCCGTTCGTGCATCAGACGTTGGTGTCTACGTCTGTCATGTGAGCCCATTATTATTCTTGCATAAATTTATTTATTTATTAAAAATAGAATTATTATTAGAATACAGAAGAATTGGTATTTTTTTCTATTTTTATTTTCGATTTTGTCGTATTTCTTTCATTCGGCTGTTTTTTATTGACCTAATTTTCTACAAATTCTTTTGAATTTGATACTTCATGTCTGACTTAACTGACTTTTATCAAACTGTTGTGAAAATATATTTTAAATATACATTTTCCATTTAAAGGTAACATCTCCTGGTGGAAATGAAACGCGCTCGGCTCGACTGGCAGTAATTGAATTGCCATTCCCGCCGACAAATGTGAAAGCCATTCGATATGATACACAAACGTATCGTTCAATTAATGTATCATGGACAGGCGGTTTCGATGGAAATAGTCCAGTTTTGAAATTTATAATTCAACGACGAGAAGTGCCCGAATTAGGTATATATCAAAAAGTTTTCACACAAATACATTACACTCATTACAAAAATAGACGCTTTTAATATTTAATTTAGTTTAGTTTCATTTAAATTTTGATAAAATTTATTTAATTTCATTTCGTTTGTTGTTTAATTTGATTCTTGTATTTGTAATTTAGTTAAATTATCATTCACCTACACGATTGTTTATTGGTTTATTATTATTTTTTTATTTTATGTGCACCTTCAAACAAAAATTATACACTCGCACACATATACACATTTTCGGTGAACAAACATAAATTAAAAGAAGAATTTATAGGTCCAATTCCGGATCCTCTATTAAATTGGATCACCGAACTCAGCAATGTATCGTCCAATCATCGATGGATTTTATTGCGAAATTTGAAAGCCGCTTCTGTCTACCAGTTTCGTGTGAGTGCTGTGAATAGTGTTGGCGAAGGTCCACCGAGCGAACCGAGTAATGTTATTCGATTGCCACAAGAAGGTAAAATCAACGCGAGAGAAATCAATGGACTCATTAAACCCGAAATGTTATTGTTCTAATTACAGCACCATCTGGGCCACCGGTTGGTTTTGTTGGGTCAGCACGTTCGTCATCCGAAATAATAACACAATGGCAACCACCACTGGAAGAACATAGGTAATAAACATGACAAACATTTCTCATCAAGTTTATATTTTCATTGGAAAATCGTTTAATTTCGTCGCATTTAGAAATGGTCAAATTCTTGGCTACATCATACGATATCGATTGTATGGCTACAACGACAGTCCATGGACCATTCAAAATATAACAAACGAAGCTCAACGCAATTATTTAATTCAAGAGCTAATCACATGGAAAGATTATGTCATACAAATTGCTGCATACAATAATATGGGTGTTGGTGTTTTCACCGATGGTGCAAAAATCAAAACAAAAGAAGGAATACCGGAAGCTTCGCCAACCAGTGTCCGTGTTAAAGCAATCAATTCAACGGCTATAAAAGTATGGTGGACACCGCCAAATCCTCAACAAATAAATGGTATTAATCAAGGATACAAGTTACAAGCATGGATCTATAATATAGCCAACGGCGATGAAATGGAAACAGAAGCAAGAATGATTACCGTTCCGCCAAGTTTAATTGATCCATTGGCTGAACAAAGCGCCATTATGTCTGGTTTGGATAAGTTTTCCGAATATAATATAACTGTGCTATGTTTCACCGATCCCGGCGATGGTATTCGCAGTGAATCGGTCTATGTGAAAACAAAAGAAGACGTTCCCGGTGAGGTAGCCTCACTACAATTTGATGAGGTGTCCGATCGTGCGGTCAAAGTGATTTGGTCACCGCCAAAAGCAGCCAACGGCATTTTAACTGGATATCAGGTCAAGTACCAAGTCAAAGACGATGCAAGTACAATGAAAGTTGTGAATTTAACAGCGAAAGAGACAAGCTTGAAAGTAACAAAATTGGTGGCAACGACAAAGTACTTGTTTGAAGTAATAGCATCCACTGCAGTTGGTTTTGGTACACCGAAAATAGCCACAATGCAGTCTGGCGTTGAACCCGTCCTACCCTTACCACCCACTCAACTAGCGTTGTCAAACATTGAAGCATTTTCCGTTGTCGTGCAATTTACACCAAGCTTTGATGGTAATTCATCGATTACAAAATGGACAGTTGAAGCACAAACCGCACGCAATTTAACATGGTTTACAATCTACGAAATCTCTGATCCAGATGCAACAACATTAACGGTTACCGGTTTAATGCCATTCACATCATATCGATTGCGTTTGATAGCAACAAATGTGGTTGGCCCATCAGAACCATCGGAATCAACAAAAGATTTTCAAACAATTCAAGCTCGTCCAATGCATCCACCATTTAATGTAACCGTTCGGGCAATGAGCGCAACCGAACTTCGCGTACGATGGATTCCATTGCAACAAAGTGAATGGTTTGGTAATCCACGTGGATATAATATTACCTATCGAAATGTTGAAAATGGTTCAGCATCGTCGATGTTGAGTGCATTAATCGAAGATCATACGGCAAATTCACATGTTCTTGATAATCTGGAAGAGTATGCTGTCTATGAAGTCATCATGAATGCATGCAATGACGTTGGCAATTCAAAAGACAGCCCGCCAGCACTGGAACGTACGCGAGAATCGGTGCCATCCGTTGGACCGGTATCCGTTGAAGCAAACACAACATCTTCCACGACGATTGTCGTACGATGGGGTGAAGTACCGAAAGAGCATCGAAACGGTCAAATTGAGGGCTACAAAGTTTTCTACGGGGCTGCCAATCGTGGATCCGTTTTATTACATAAAACTATTCCAAACAATAACACTTACACAACAACTTTGACGGAATTGAAAAAATTTATTGTTTATCAAATTCAAGTGCTTGCCTATACACGATTAGGCGACGGTGCATTATCAACGCCACCGATTCGAGTTCAAACATTTGAAGACACACCGGGCGCCCCATCGAATGTTTCATTTCCGGATGTATCGCAAACAACGGCTCGTATCATTTGGGACGTACCCGAAGAACCAAACGGTGAAATTCTTGCATACAAAGTGACCTACTCCCTCAATGGGTCGACCAATTTGAATTATAGCCGCGAATTTCCACCACATGAACGAACATTTCGGGCTACGAATCTACATACGGAACGATATTACATTTTTAGTGTAACCGCACAAACGCGCCTTGGATGGGGTAAAACGTGTGCAGTTCTTGTGTATACAACAAACAATAGAGAACGTCCACAAGCACCATCGTCACCACAGATTTCCAATAGTCAAGTGCAAGCACATCAAATTACATTCAGTTGGACACCAGGTCGAGATGGATTTGCACCCCTCCGTTACTATACAGGTATGTATTTTTGTACATTTAACAAAAAAAAATACATTTTCATCTTAATCGTGTATTGATCGAATGTTGAATATAATTTCAGTGGAATTACGAGAAAATGAAGGGCCATGGACATCACTTTCCGAAAGAATCGATCCAATAATCACGTCATTCACTGCTGTTGGTCTAAAGCCACATACAACTTATCAATTCCGAATTCAAGCAACGAACGACTTGGGACCGAGTGCATTCAGTCGAGAAAGCATCGAAGTAATCACGTTGCCAGCGGCACCATCACAGGGAGTGCAGGGTTTAAAAGTCGTACCGATTACCACAACCAGTGTTCGCGTTCAATGGAATTCATTGGAAAAATCCCTTTGGAATGGTGACTCCATAACTGGTGGTTATCGAATTCTATTCCAACCAATTTCCGATTTTCCAGTTGCATTGCAAGCAACACCAAAACAAGAAGTCATGGGAATCGCTTCGAATAGCATGATTTTAACGGATTTAACACAAGATCGAAACTATGAGATCATTGTCATACCATTCAATTCACAAGGGGAAGGCATTCCATCGCCACCGGTTGCAGTCTATGTTGGCGAAGCTGTTCCATTAGGTAAGAGAACGCTGACTTTTTTTTTATTGTAAACTCTAGAGTAAATTAATTTTCCTTTTCTACATAGGTGAACCTCGAAGTGTTGAAGGTGCGGCTGTTTCAGCCACCGAAGTTCGATTGAGATGGAAACCACCAACAGAACAAAAACAAAATGGTGATTTACTTGGCTATAAGATATTCTATCTTGTGACCGATTCACCACAAGAATTGGAAGAAGGTCGTAAATATGAAGAAGAAATTGAAGTGGTGCCTGCTTCATCGAATGCACACAGTTTGGTATTTTTGGATAAATACACCGAATATCGTGTACAATTACTGGCATTCAATGCGGCCGGTGATGGGCCAAGATCAATACCAATTACAGTAAAAACTCTACAAGGTTTACCAAGCGCTCCGAATACCCTCAACTTTACGGATATCACAATGCATAGTTTACGTGTGTCATGGAATCCACCGAAGAAAAAGAATGGCGAAATTTTGGGATACATCGTGACTTATGAAACTACCGAAGAAAATGATAGTATGTCAACTTCTTTTTTAACAATTTTTTTTTGGTGAAAATTATTTCATTTTTTTTTTCGATATAGAATTTAGTAAACAAGTCAAGCAAAAGGTGAGCGGCACAAGTCTCTTGGTACAAAACCTTGAAGAAGAAGTTACATATACATTTACGGTACGCGCACAAACAATCGATTATGGTCCACCGATCGTGGGCAATGTCACAACTGGTCCACAGGAAGGCTCACCGGCAGCATTGCGTGATCTTTTACTAACGAAGACGGTGTCGAGCGTTGAATTGCACTGGAAAAACGGACCATCTGGCAAAGGTCCGATTTTGGGATACTACATCGAATCAAAGAAACGAGGTAAATTTATTACTTCATTTTAATAATTCTTTTTTTCAAGATTGTTTATTTCAAATGAAATTTCAATGAATTTTCCCCTTTTTTGAAACACGCAAACGAACAGAAAGAGATCAAAATTTGATTTGTAAGTAAAATATCCATAGGACAATCCTAAACACATATTTGATCACTTTTCATTTTGTGTGTGTTTGCCGTTTCATTTCATTCATTTGTTTTACAATTAATGTTCGTTTCCAATAAATGCACAACCATTCGAAGCATAAACGTATTCAGGCATACGATTGATGTACTAACCGCATTATTGGACTTTTTTTCTCTTTTTTTCGAAATATGAATAATATTCATTGGATATGCACTTCATTTCAAAACATGATAAAATTTCATGCATTTGTTATATGTCTTTGTTTTTTTTTTGTTCATTGCGGAGAAGATGTATAAATGGATACATTGTTTTATATTTTGTCCTGTATCAAAAATAAGCTGAAATCTTTGATTTGCGTACATTATCAATTTCTTCAAAAAAAAAAAAGAAAAATATTGATTGTCAATCAAAATATCCGTAAAATATCTTTTCCGCAATGCTTCTATTTGTGATCTTCTTATTTATGGTGTTCTTCCTATTTTGGTTTTGTACCTTATCGAGGGATAAAGAAAATGAGGTTATTAACAAAATTTGATTTCAACAGATGACACCCGTTGGGAAACTGTGTCCCGTACAACAGGCGGATCGATGCAAGAATTCACCGTTAGCTACCAAACATTGTTGCCATCCACGGTTTATTCATTCCGAGTTATTTCTTACAATGTCTATGGTATTTCGTACCCAGTCTATTCAAAGGATCCGATTCTAACACCGTCCAAACTGTACTTGGAGTATGGATATTTGCAACACAAGCCATTCTATCGCCAACAATGGTTTATGGTTTCGTTGGCCGCTACGTCCATCATTATCATCATTATGATCGTTGCCGTTCTCTGTGTAAAAAGCAAGAGCTACAAATATAAACGTAAGTGACAAAAATACAATTCTGTTGTGATTTTTCTGATAATTTTTTATTTTTCGATTCCAACAGAAGAGGCACAGAAAACATTGGAAGAATCAATGGCAATGTCGATTGATGATCGACAAGAATTGGCACTAGAATTGTATCGGTCACGACATGGCATGGGAAATGGCACATTATCTGTTAATGGCGGTACAATTCGAAGGACAATGGGACGAAAGCCAACGACTCAACCAGCAGCAGCTGCTGCACTTGGCAAATCACCACCAAGACCTTCACCCGCATCGGTTGCTTATCACAGCGACGAAGAAAGTCTCAAATGTTACGATGAAAATCCAGACGATAGTAGTGTCACAGAAAAACCGTCTGAAGCTAGCTCAAGTGATTCACAGGTAAACATTGCAATACTTTTTTAAGTATTCGTACAAAAATATCATTTTTTTCTTATTTTATTTTCCAGAATTCGGAAAGTGAAAATGAGAGTGTACGATCCGATCCACATTCGTTTGTAAATCACTATGCAAATGTGAATGATACGCTGCGTCAGTCATGGAAACGACAGAAACCAGTGCGAAACTATTCAAGTTACACGGATTCAGAGCCCGAAGGCAGTGGTGTAATGAGCTTAAACGGTGGCCAAATTATAGTCAATAATATGGCAAGATCGCGAGCGCCGTTGCCCGGTTTTTCGTCGTTCGTCTGATTTTCACTGAACGATTTAGACAAAGTAGAAATAGAAACGTCGACAGTTTTCTAAAATAAAACGCACATCGATCAATATATAATTAACTGAGGCACATACACACACAAAAAATCTGGATCTCAATCGACAATCAAAATAAACTCGTCCCTTAAGAAATGTTGTGGTGTCTAAACTACGAACAACAACAAAGCATATAGAAAATTAAATGTATTTGCTCAATTATCGTAGTTCAATGCGATTTCTTTTGATTGCGTAAAATCGAATTTTTAGGCAACTAATACAGATATATGATGTGTATTGAACGTGTGTAAAAATAAAACAAATGACTTTTTATGTTTGTGTGATAGCTAACAAAACGAAAATTTAAAGTTAGGTCAATGGATTAAGAAGAAAAATGATTTATTGCGCTTTTTCTCATTCAAACAGTCAATTAACTAATATTGAATATTTCGATCAATTTATAATTTATCCCACGCAATTGCTGTACTCGCTAACACATAACTGGGTGATTTTATGATCAATTTTGTATATATTGTGTAATTTAGATAGAAATTAATTTTGTTTTAATTTAACTTCGATACACGAAACTGCCTATTTCAATGTACTTTTAAGCATTTACAATTTCGTGTCAACTCAATTTCGTTATCATTTTATTTTCTGTATATTATGAATTTGAAGCATTCGATTCGAATTTTTTTCTCGATTTTTAGTCCAAAAATTTATCGATCACTTTTTTTTTGATTAGCAAAATTTATTTGCGTTCCATTGTTTTAAATCATTTTTATCGTGAATAGTTCTATTTTGTATGTTGTGTAAAACTCGACTGAATACATTTACTTAAATGCGTTTCTCGATGTAAGGAACTCTGTTACTGATTATAAACAAAATAATCAAGAAATTTGTAGCATAATTTAGTAAAAATTTACAAACGAACACTAATGTAAACGTCATACATTTTATGAATATCAAATAAGTGGAATATATATTGCAAATGAAACAAATATTCGGAATACTGACCATGAGATAAGAGCTGACTTTCTGATTCGATTACACATATAGCACAGCTTCTGCGGCTAAAAACTGATAGAAAATAATGCCTAAATTGTTCAATTCCATTTTTTTATTTTAATAAACATTATGACCATATCTCATCTTCATTCTCTGTTTAATCACATATATTAATACAACAACAGAGGAATCCGCATTTATTTTTCAAAACCAAACAATACATCCCATTATTCTTGGCAATATTTCCGAGCTAAACCAGTGCGATCATCTACTTAACTGTCATGTCATCTGAATGAATAGAAATTTAACCATAAAATATTACATTTACCGATTAAATCATTATGCAACAAACGATTTAAGCACAATTAGCACTCCGTGTAGCAATTATGGTTCGAATCTAATCAATAAATAAGAATAAAATTTAGCTTATCGTCCAAAATGGAAACGTGTAATTATATTATGTTAGCTATAAATAATAATGATGATGATACAATGTCGGAAACAAAATTTTAATGAAAATAAACAAATATTGCAAAAAATTTAAAATTTCTCTTTGTTTTACTCAATTTTATTTCTTCGTATATTCTACAAATAGATCATTTTTGTGATATTATGTATTATTATTATCTATAATTTCTCTACAAAGAATCTACACTTAATTAAAACTTGTGTATAGTAAAATTACGATACATATTTTTCAATTATAATCGGTTATATATTATATAAATAACCGTAAATTTAATGTAGTTTTAACATTTATATTTATTTTGATAGTAATAATTCAGTTATTTGTTTTCCCAATAAAGATCGATTGTTCTGATCTGTCATCATTGTAAAATGACCACCGTTCACAGGAATAATTCGAACGTCTGAAAGTTGGTATCTATCCCAAACAATTTTTGGAAGATTATACATTTCATTAAAATCACTAACAATTTTTTCGGTTTGAATATTTTTATCAAAGTACATATTACGACCATGTGAATGATCAAATTCTGTTGCCTTAAACAAATTTACGGTAATTGGCAGTGGATTGATCTTATACACTGCGCACATATTATGAAAATGAGCCCGTTGCTTCGATAACAATGCTTCCCATTCGATATCTGCATTTTTCAGATCAACATTTTTTACTTTTACCTCTTCAATTGCTTCATTTAGAGTCAATTTACTCACACGTTTCCACCATACTATATCATTTAACGTTTTGAAGAAGCAAGACTTCAATGTAATACAATGCAAAAACCAATTAGTATCATTAAATTCACTCGCTTTTGTGAGTGGGGATGTGTCGATTAAACCCAAAAATGAAACTGGATAACCAGTGTTTATAAGTTGATTCGTTACTTCATAGGCTAGAATGCCCCCAGAAGAGTAACCAGCTATAGCGTAAGGGCCATTCGGCAGTACTTTCTTTATCAGCGCTATCATTGCATTGGCCATTTCTTCGATGGATGATGGCTGCTCTTTTTCTGGTGACGACCACGGTAACACATAAACCGGAACACTTTTATCAATCTCATGTGCTAGTTCAAAAGCATAAGAGATGTCTCCATAACCATCTGGTAAGAAAAATATGGGTATCTGATCGCCGCGATGACGAACTGGAATAGCTTCATCACAATACAGTTTGGTAGGGGAGTTAGTTATTCTCTTCGCCAAGTCTTTGAGTATTGGGAAGGAAAACAAACCACGCGCATCAACGTGTATATTACAGTGTTTCTTTGCCAGGTTGGAAAATTTCATTACCATCAAGGAATGCCCGCCCAACGCAAAGAAATTGTCATTTCGACTGATTCGCTCAATACCCAACAGTTCGCTCCAGATTGCAGCCAGTTTTTCTTCCGTTTCGCCACGCGGTTCCTCATATAGTTGACGAGCAAATGCTTCACCGTCCGGCGCTGGAAGTGCACGCCGATCTAGCTTGCCGTTTGGTGTGAGTGGTAAGGATGATAGACACACATATGCTGCTGGCACCATATAATCAGGCAATAGAGATGCCAGATATGTACGTAGATTATTAGCGAGTGATTCATCTGAATTGGCCACTACATAGGCAACAAGACGGGTATCACTATCGGACCCGTCTTTCCATGGCTGTACAACCGCTTCGCGCACCAATGGATGTTCCTCTAAACGGGTCTCAATTTCGCCGGGTTCAATTCGGAAACCACGGATTTTAACCTGTTGATCAATGCGTCCCAGATAGACTAAATTTCCATCAGGTAGATAGCGTGCCAGATCACCAGTGCGATACATGCGTGCTGATGGTTTGTCACT